GCCTCCCTGAGTTTGCTCAGTTTCATGCTCATTGCTTCAGTGATGCTATCTAACCATTTCATCCTCTGCTGTCCCCTTCTCCTTTATGGCAAAATTAGGATTCATAAATTTTTGTATTTTGCCAGATCATGGTAAATTAGGGTTAATAAATTCCATAAATTTATAAATTGTGATAGGGAGCCTGTCGAAAGGATGAGGAGAGAGAATAGATCATGTTGGACAATGGGTATATACTATGTCCCCAGATCACAGTTTTATGATGCTTTAGAAAAAAGTTTCTCCATAATAATGTTTCCTGTTGCTGTTAATGTAGACTAGAGCTACCGGATCTGGGGTGCAAAAGTCTGGAGACCTTTTTACTCTTGTTCTTGCCATTAATAGTCATCTGTAGTTTTTTAGCCTAGAAATAGTAGCCTTAAGGTAGATGTCTTAAAATATTGTATTTTATTTCGTTTTTACACATGCATACTTACTTCTAGTGTTCTTATTAAAGGTGCTGATGAACCTTCGCAATCCAAATTATGACACCAGTGAGCAATCTAATTTTAGAAATCACTTGGGACTAATTCAGGTCCCACTGAACGTGAAAGATATACCTGAACTGGTAAGCATCCATTACAGTTTATTTAAGAATAGAGGTTAACAAATTAAACAATACAGTCCTGGGCCATGAACTCAATCAGCCTTACCCCAGAATAGATATGTATAAAATGTTGTTATCAGTTACTAGGACACAGAAAGCCTTTAAAGTATTAGGAGCTTAATCTAGTGCGGAGATGTTCTCTCTACAACCCCTCAGTGTGCTGGGGAGGATAGTAGGAGAGCAGGTTTTCCTTTGCTCAGGGGAGGAAGGGAATCACCAATCCCAGTTGCTTCTTGTATAAGGAGGAGGAAATATTTTTTGTCTTCTGTTGCAGAAGAGGAAGAAGTAGGGGGCGGGGTGGGGGAATGGATTGGATGGAAAGAAGTGGTAGGCTACATTCTACACATGGGGCAAAGGTTCCCTGTCCTTGAATCATAGTATATGAGAATTGCTGAATATTTCTGATACATCTATTTTAAATCCCCTGCTGTAAAGGATTATTCTTCAGGGTTTAGACATGTGACATTAAAGAAAATTCTAGTCTATAACTAGAACTAAATGATTTCTGGGAGTTTTCAAGGAGAGCACCGGCATGGAGGCCCCAGCAGCATGTCTGTCTGTCTGTCTGTCTCTCACACACACACACGCACACACCTGCTGCTCCTCTCTCTTCACTTGCTCAGCATGGCTCACTCCCCTCCCCTCCTGAACATGTGGGTGCAATCCCCGCCCCTGCCTGGGGTCCGTGCGTGCTCTGCCAGGCCAACCCAATGTGGGAGGTTGGAGCATTTTCTTTGGTCTCTGCTTTTTTAAAATAAATCATGATCTCCCAGGGAACCCCTAGTGACCTCTCACGGAACCCTCGGGTTCTATGGAACCCTGGTTGAGAAACCCTGCCTTATTATATTGTGTTTTTAGCCAAGATGGTGGGATTTTAACATTCTAGTGTGATGGAATTTATTATATGGTGTGAGTGTTAGGCTTTGTGTTTAGCTTACAAATTAAAACAATATATTGGTATTTAATGTTGATTTCACATATTTTATGTGGTGGCACATCTTGTCCTCTTGGAAAATATCTTTTTTTTTTTTCTCAAGAAGGAATATTTTAGTGAATTAGACCTGAACATTGGTCAGATGGATATTGATGATTCTGCACATGTGCCTCCAGGTGAGTGTAGTTGTTTAATTTTCAGTAAAGATAGTTTTTGTTTCTGAAAAGGATTCTTGTAAGGTATATTTATAAACAATAGATCTAGTTAGGATTCTTGTTTCTTTATATGCAATAGTGGGAGTATTTAATAAGTTAATTCTGCTGGGCTATTTTAGCTAGAAATTAGCACATTTTAAAGCACTGTTTTCATTACAAATGGGTGTGCAACTTTGGTTTTTAAAATATAGGCTGGCTGGGTGAGAGACACCAAATGGGGAAAAAAGGATTCAGATCAAAAAATTAAATAATGATTGATGAGGATTACTTAATTTCCTCCACCGAAACTAGTAAACCTGAATTCCAAGTGTTTCACTTCAGAGGGCAAATTATTTATTTATTTATTTGAATATATTGGCCATCCAACTCCAGTGGACTCTGGACGGCATACAAAACATTGGGTGGAGATGTAAAGTTGGGTATCATCAGCATACTGATTATATTGCACCTCAAACCGGCAGATGACCTCACCCAGGGGTTTCATGTAGATGTTGAACAGGAGAGGGGAGAGTATCGAGCCATTTGGCACCCCACACAAGGGGCCGCGGATGCAATCTCTTCCCCCCATCAACACCAACTGAAACCGACTGCTGAGGAAGGAGATGAACCATCAGAGCATAGTGCTTCCCACTCCTAACCCCTGCAGCCGGTCTAGAAGGATACTGTGGTCAACAGTATTGAAAGCCTCTGAGAGATCAAGGAGCACTAGGATAGATGTGCCTTAGTTGTTCTTTCATTCCAAAGATGCGAACATTCAGAAAACTAGTTGACAACTAGGAAAGGATATATTTCTATATTTAGAGCTTTTCTTTATTGCTGGGGTAAAACATTCTATCTACAGATCGTCATGCTGTCTGAGGTATCATGGTTCAGATACAGATCTATCAACTAAATGAGAACTGGGCCTTATGGTGTATGTGCTCATGAAAGGATGTGATATATTTAATAGAAGGAAATGTAGACTGCTACATTTTACCCTTTTAAATCCCTGAAGTACCTTAACCTATTACTGAGAATATAAGTGGATTCACAAATAGCACTAAACCCAAAGTAATCATAGCACATTATGAGTTTGCATAATAGGTGAATAAGGGCATACTGCACAGATGTAAAAGGCTGTAGATTGAATATGGTTTTTCTTGGCAAGTTAGGTTGTTCTGCATGAGTTAGTAGTCTACTGAAATGTTCCTGATCATTGTTAAAAAATACTATGTAACAAAGCAGGATAATTGATAATAGCAAGAAGAAATAAGTCTTGCCATATTTTAGAAACAAATGATGATATGGTGGGATGAGCTTTAGTCCTTCAGGTACATTGGACTCTGTTGATGTACCTGGCATCATCTCCGGTTATTTTTCAACTGATAAAGGATGGATTTTAATGAGAGCTGACATTATAGTTAACTAATGTCTCATAGTATCATTTTATTGTCCAGTCTTTATCTTAAGAGCAACCCTGCATACTTTATTGAGAGATAAATCTTAACCATGTATAGGACCACAGCCTAAGGCAACACTTATTTGGGAATAAGTCTCTTTGAACTGAGTGAGGCTTTTGATTGAGTAAACAATGTATAAGTTTACCATTAAGATAATTGCATCTTTATTTTCATTGTTTTGCTTATATTATAGGAAGGGCTCCTTGCTGAGAATACGGTTGGAAAGGCTGCTTTTGAGATTAACTTTGGTACATAATCAACAAAATTAAAATATCATTGCTATTGGCCTGTAGAGACTTCTTTACTATGACTATAAAATGGCACTTTTTAATCTCTTAAACAGCAATTACATTTTTTTCTTCACATTTCAGTTTATAAATTGACTAGGGATTTGAAAAAAAAATTCAGAGTAACATATGACTGCTATTTTCTGTGAAAAACTGAGAAACATTTGTGTGCATTTTTTTTTTGGATGGGTGTTCTTTTGAATCTTCGTACAAGTCTGATACAGTACATTCAAATAAGGAATTCTGAGAGAGAAATCAAATATTCCCATAGAACTCAAAAATAGTTTTTTATATTTTTGTTTACTATTTTAGAACTCTTTGAAAATGAGCATGTACGAATTGGTCAAAAAGGTAAGTTGAATAATGGCTTTTAACATAGTGCTTTTTTTAAAAAAATAGAATTGCCATTTGTTTCTTTTATTTTATGTTACATAAGGAGCAATCATGCTGAAGTAGTAATCACACTCCAAGAGATAAGTCCTGTTGAAGATTCCCAAGTAAACAAGCTTAGGCTTATGCTGCAGTTGTAGAAAATGTAAAGTGACATGCGGGTTTAAAAAGGCAGAATAGCGTAATGGTATGTGAGAAAGACCTTAAGAGACTGGGTAAAGAGAAGCTGCCTAGGGATGGTCATATAAGAGAGGACATAGCCTGCAGCTGCATAATGGGTGGAGCAAGAGGCTCAGAAGGGACCCTCCCTTGCTTCTCAGGCTATAAAGGAGACTGCGGGAGATTTGTACTTTCAGACTTGCAAGATTCTGTTAATGTAGCATTACAATAAAGTAGAATTAGCTCGTCTGGTTGTGTTTCCTGTCTGATCTATCTGGGAAAGCTGACAAATAGCTAGGACATTAAAATCAGTATTAGCTACAGATAAAGAGCTTAACAGGTGGCTCATTTAAAGCAAAATACCATGTGTGTCCCTGCATACAGCTTTTTGTCAGAGCTGAATTCCTGTTTTGAATTTCATTTTAAAATAATCAGAGCCTCTTTTCTCTTCTATGCACAAAAGTTCCTTATTAGTATTAATGGAGTTATGTCCATGCATCAGAAAAGAACATAACCTTAATTCTGCTGGATGGTTAGTCACTACTGCAGACCTTGATGAACACTGTAATACTGAGTCAAAATGTAAAATGGTATGTGTAGCCCTTTCCTTTCCACTTCCCGTTCTACTGTCATTCTACTGTTGAAAGAAAAAAAATCAATCTCATGCCTTTAATTACAAGAAATTGAACTCATGCGGAACAGGTTATTGTTCTCCGCCTCTGTTTCAAAGCACTCCATGAACTACTTATGTCATATTTAACTCTTAATAAGTTCTCTTACAATGTAGAAAAAGCAAAAACAGAAGAAAAAAAACCAGGATCGAGATGGGATAACTGGGAAAGGGAAGCAAACTGATTGGAGATAAAGGAAAGGCAGGAAAGAAAGTAAGGGAGAGAAGGTCTGTTTAGTTGCAACATATATTTACATGACAAGTAACTCCTCTGAACCAACAGATAATCTTCAGACTACTTTTCACAGGCATTCATGCTTTGCAGCCACAGTGTCTCAGCCATTTGCACCTTTTGCTCATTCCTTCTGTTATCAGTGAATGTAAGAAACCTTCTTTCCCATTCATAAGTAATTATTTGGAGAAAGAAAAAAATCTCATCTTCCAATTGGGATGTTGCTTTATTATATTAATGCCACTGCAGTTTCTTGTAACTCCCAGTGGTATACATCAGAACAAACATGTAACTCAAATGTAAATATAAGAACAATCAATACGAACAGCGAAGAACAATTTGGTGTTAAGTAATTTGTGGAAGGCCAGCAACAGAGGTACAGGAACCTGGTATTCAGCTTCAGGCTATTACATCCCATCCAGGCTTAACATCCTCTAGATACTGGTTGAAGCCTTTTGCAGTATCTCAGGCTGAGCTCAAAGTGGAGTACAATGATACCTTGATGATTCCACTGATAGTACCTCATCTTCAACTGATGGATGAGCTCTCCTGGTGGTTTCATATAGATGTTAAACAGCAAGGGGAAAGAATTGTGCCTGAAGACCTTACAAGTGAAGGCCCACCAGGCTGACTTCAGTTCCTACCTGCTTAGGAAAAAGCAAAATCACTGAAGCAGAGCACCAGTGACTCTGACTCCCAGCCTCACCTTTGGTTTAGGAGGATGCTCTGATCAATGGTAGCAAATAATGCTGAGAGGCTGAAAAGGACCAAGAAAGGTGTAGACCCTCCATCCAGGTCCCAACAACCATCAAGCAGAATGACTTGTGCCATTTCCATCTCTTGATTGGATCTGAATCCAGCAACCTGAAGGATCCAGAAGAGGCATCTGTGAAGTCAAGAAGTGGCAGAGAAGTACCACCCCCACTTTGTCAAGTGTCCAGAGGCCAAAAGAAGTCCCAGATAACATTGCAAGACATGGCTCTACATTAGAATCCACCAAAGTAAAAATTATGGTAAACCTTGGCAACTTTATCGACACAGTGTTGCGTCAATAAATCATAGCAACTAGACAGTAACTGTTCCACCATCATCCTCTATTGGAACAGAGTACCTTAATTAAGGTGTCTGAACAGCAACCCACTGAACACAGCAAGAGCAGAGAAGTAAGAGCCACTTCACATTGTTATCGCCATAGTGTGGATTTATACCCAGATGCTTATATGCTTCCTCCTCTCCAAGACTTAGTTTTGTGAGGAGTGAAGAATAAGCTTTGCTATCTTCATGTATTACTTAATAAATCTACTTTTCATGTTAGTTATTTCAGTTATAATGAATGTTAGCATTCACTGATGGCTAGGCTAAGACTTTATATACAACACAAATATACTATGAATATTTTATTTTTTAATGGGATGCTCTGCTACTTAATTAATTAGTGTACTTTTAGCACTTTGCTTAAGTTCAGGAGCATGTGCTCTAACAACAGTTTTGCTGAATTAAAATTTCCAACATACATTGCTCAAACATTGCTCTCCCCCATTGTTGTTCTGCACCAACAATTGTTTGGAGATATATTCTCCCTAATTTTGAAGGTATATAAAGCCATTGTAAAGTACAGTGGTACCTCGGGATACAAATGCCTCTACTAACGAACTTTTCGGGTTACGACCAGCTCC